TATGTTAGAGGGGACAACTGGAAAATATGATTCCCCCCTCCTCTCTTCACCAACACCATGTTGAATGTAAAAAAAATGAGGGCAAAGCAGCCATTTTAAGTCCCTGTGGAAATGTCATTATCTCCTAAATTCCTACATATTTGCACAGAGCTGGGCAAATCTTTTTCAGTAAATAGTCAATTTGGTGTAATAAGTATATTAAGCAAGTTTTGGGGAACTAAAACTATTTGTGAATTTGGATCAAATTTGGCCAATATTTTCAGTGAAATTTTTTTCAGAAATGTTAAAAAGCTTCATTTTGACATTTTCAAAATGAACCATTTAAACACTTTTGTTTGGAAATGACATTTTAGAAATGCAATTTCATTTAGGAAATGGCAGTTTGGAACAAAGTTTGAAACATTTTGTTCAACCCAAACAAAACGTTTTTGGTTATTCATTTGGGTGAGGGGGGAAAAAAACAACAAAAAAAATCAGTTTTGGGTCAAAACAAACCAATTTCCCCCCCAGATTTTTCAAACCAAAAAAGTCAATTATTAACTCATCTCTAATTTTGATGAGAGACGGAGAGAGATGGCAAGACTTCATGCCTTGATTCTTCTCAGTAGCCCATTTCAACTCTTTACCTGCCCGTTTGCAACTGTTTTCTCTTGCATAGGCATTAAGATAGAGGTGAAAGGGCACAGGAGTTCTGAATATTGGTGTGGCAGAAAATATCATTCAGAGCATTTAAAATGCGTTAACTACATATGATTGGTAGCATACTACTTCTGAAATTCAGAACTCTCTGTTTTTGAAAGCTAAGCTGAGGTCATCTTCACCTTTTAACATATTGTAAGAAAACCCCCAGCTATCCAGAACTTGTACATTGCACACCATCGCCACTCAGAACTTCATTGTGTCAGAACGATTGAAAGATGGATTTTCCTGCTCCAAAAGCAAAGGCTCCCATGTCTTGTGCTGAAGGACGATCTGTTTGGGAATCACTGATCTAGATTGCTGCCAGACAAATTAGAAGTGGATAGCCCAGTGGTTAGGGTGTTACTTCAGGACTTGGGAGACCCAGCTTCAATTGCCTGCTCTGCTACATCCTTCCTGTGTGACTTTAGGCAAGTCACTTAGCCTCTCTGTGCCTCAGTTCCCCTCTGTAAAATGGGGACTTCCCCACTTTGCTGAGATGTTGTGAGAAGAAATACATTTAAAGAATGAGATGCTCAGTTAACTATAGTGATGGGTGCCAGAAAAGTATCTTAGGTATATATACAGGTTGGTTTATCAGATTAAGAATCCATTATACCTACTCTGATTCAAATTACAAAGGTGGCACATCAAATACTTTTTGCTCTTCAGATATTGCACTCTTCAGTTGAAATCTTGATCTGCTTCTTTAGATGAAGAGTAGTCATGGGTGGGGTGGGGGGAGGAGGAACACAAGGAGGTAATTCTGAAAAGTTCCTCTAAGACTATTCTGTTTTGCTGCATTGTAAACTTCTTAACTCTCTCCTGCAAGTTATTCAACATCACCATTATGACGATGAGATTGCAAATGTCCTATGACATTTGCAACATTTTGCTAAATCAGTAGCGTGGTTCAAGAAGTTGCGGTCTTCCAGGCTAAAATAAATTGATCATAAAAACTCAATTTCTATGGCCCAGTCACCAGTTTATGAAAGTTTTCTGGCTAATGTACAGCTACAACTCTGGTCAGTAACATAAATGCAATAAAAGTCTAGGTTGGCAGTAAATTGGGGTAGGATGCCAGCGAGGAATCCATTATTTTTTTTTAATTTGAAAAACCATTCAAGTGTTCAAGTATCGTTTTCAGAATTCCTCACCAGACATTCTCTGAATTAGAAGTGACAAGAGCTGTATATCTCTTCAAGAGTTGCCTTCTAAATTAACTAGAAACATTATTATACTGGCAAGATGATTGATCCCCTTTGGAAATAAAATTAAGAGCCAGATCCTGCAAACTTTTACCCATGCAAATAAGGAATTGCAGGATCGGATTCCAACACAACGGTGTTAAAATGTAAAAAGGGAGATTTACATGCATTGGGGAGCCAATCTTGCAACACTTACTCATGGAAGTAGTCCATACATAAGCAGTCCCATTAATTTCAGTGAGACTACCTTCATGAGGAACAACTGCAGGATCAAACCCACAGTTAGCGGTATTAGTATCTCATTAATGTTCCAGCTCCCATCCAGTAGAAAAGGGCATGCTATTTCATTTAAGGGGCATCAGCGGCTTTCAGCATTACATGGCTGTCAGCTCTGATAAATCTCTCCATGCTTAACTGTAAATATATTTTTACCAGAACCTGGTTCTTGCTCTAGACCAGATCTACCATATGAAGGAATCCTCCTGAAGTTACCAACAAAGAGGAGATCATCTACGATGGGGTTAGATACTTTAGAAACACCTGAGATTATGAGAGAGCCATAGACAGACAGGGATATAAGGTGTTATGAAACTTTCCATCATCTCCACTCATGTTTGTTCGTGATGGGTTTCCCATTCCTGTCTCTTTGTGGAAGGTCCTCTGTATCACATGGAAAGATCTAGAAAACATTACTCATAGTTTTATTTCACATTTCCATAATCTTTTAATTTAGCTTCTAGAGTCAGTGACATGCAAAGTTTCAAGGACTTCAAACATATTTATAATGTAGGAATCTATACATTTTCTCTTTTCTCAATTTTCTCACCTTAACCTTATAGATGGGACACAGAATTAGGTACTAATACAGCTAATTTAAAATCTTTACAGAAGGTAGCATTGGGATTTGTGAAAGAAGGTCCATGGGTGACATTTTCTGAGATTTTGTTCATAGACAGAAGACATTTTTGATTGCTGATTTTTTTAAAGTCCTGGTGAGACTTGTATAACGATAGCAAATCTGCAAAATGTAATGAAATCAGGCAAGCTTTTAATAACATTTCTCAATCTTGGGAGAAAAAAAAAAGAATTGTTACTCAATTTGTGACTTTTGTTGCCTATATCTGTACTTACTAACAATCTAAAATCCAAAATCATTATCCTCTGGACTATTATATGCATTCAACCTCAGTAGCACACTGTCTTGAAGAACATACTTGATAGTAGAGGGAAACACTACCTCCAACTGAAGCGCATGATTTAACTTTTAAAGATGGCGGCAGGCAGATAATCAGCAGTGAGATTATTTTTCCTTCTTTTGAAGAAATTCACAGCATAAGGGGATAATAAATATGTGCCTATTTTTTAGCTCTTTTCACTACTCCAAATGTATTTTATACAATAATGGTATTCAGCATGTAAGATTAGCTCATAGCCCCACGCAGAAATTACATTTTTGGGGTGTGTAAATTCGATGTACAAGTGACAGTTGAAATAGTTTTTAGACACATTAATTTCTGATGGTGAGTAAAAATTGGTGAAGTTCAGTTGCTCTGGTTATGAGAGGCCAAATAAATTAGGCGAGGCAAATGAGGAGGCATTCCTTTCAGCATAGCTGGGTGAGAATTTATTATCAATTCCCATTTACAACAATGGGAGCTGCATGGCTAACTCTCAGCCTAAAACACTACCAAACTTACCTTAAATTACTTTACACAGTGGGACACAGACAATAGATCAAACTGCAATGTGGCAGATTCACACTGTAGAGGAACAGCTACTCTTTGGTCCCAGGGGGCTACACATGTTTGAGGGGACAAGCTCAGTCTCTGGTAGCTAATTCTTTGCATTTTACATCCCTTCCATTGTCACTATAAACTCCTCCGTTGAACTCTATGGTTTTTTTAGTTTGGTTCACTAGCAAGATCAGGATAGTCTGTTGTCATGTTGCTTCCTAGATATTAAGTAAAGGTATCAGAATGAAGATTTGCAGGAGGCAGATTGAAACTGACAGGGCAACGAATAGTAATATACATACTGGCCCAGATATTCTCTTGATGTAAATCAGTGTAGCTCCACTGAAGTCAATGGACGTTTATCAATTCACACCAGCTGAGGATCATGGCCACTAATTAGAATGAATGCAAATAGTATGGACCAGCATTGCTTCAGATGATATGGGAAGCGAGTGTCTGCCTTGCCAAGGTTTTTATTGATGAATAAGGCCTGAAAAAAGACATATCAGGGATAGCAATATTAATGGTATTGGACTGATTTTGTGTTTCATGACCTTCCTTAGACTTTTGCAGCTCCAATGTCTTGCAAAAAAAAAAAAGCTCCCTTATTAATGCTAAAGGAAAAGAAAGCTGTTTGAGATGCAGCTGCATGGTTCTGAAATGAAATTACTGAATTAAAAAAAGCAAAAAGCCAAATATATTTGTTAAACTGGCTGTTTGTATTGATGATTCTCTTGCCTGCCTCTGGCAGGCTCACATTGTAGTTCTATGAAAGGACTTGGTGACTAGCCTGGGAAGGAAAAAGTCATTACAAATGTGGGTTTTTGAAAGTTTATGAAAGGTAGAAGTTGAGGGAGTGCTCGTGGGGCATTTATGCATGGTTTATATGCAGATTTGGCAGGGGCGGGGGGAATATCACTCCTTCCAAGCAAAAGCTCTGTGAGAAAAAAGTGTTCATGTTTGTATGCTTCAACAAGCTAAAGCACATACCCTTCTGGTCTGATTCTGGGAGTAATTTAGCTGATGTCAGTGGGGCTGATTCTGCATTGTCATGTGCCCACTTTATGTAAAGACAGCAGCTCTCCCATTGGGTTTACATCTACTGTAGGGGCTTCCTCTGACAATGTGCTGGTGTAGCCAGTTCTATATTGCGCTACTCTCACGGCTCCCAGGGTGGAGGGCATGCTGGGG